CCTTGAGCACCGCAAGGCGCCCGTAAAGATTTTTCAGAGAATCGACCCCCAAAATCGTGAGGTTCCCGTCCGGGCACCGTCCGGAACCCGCATGGGACCCGTTAGGTGCCCTACGGGCCCCTTACGGACTTTATATGGCCTAACGGTCAGATTAAAACGCCGGGAGAATTAGGAGCAGCCAACTCAGCACCACGGCGCCCGTACGGCTTAAAAAACTGCCCCGGCGCCGGTAGGAACTTTACGGCAACCGGCCGGACACCGGCCGAAAATTTCCAAATGTCTGTTTTTACTCGCCGTACGGGCCCGGAGTGTATATGTGAAAGCCCCATAAGGGTGCCGGCAATTAGATGCCTTCCGGTGAGCTTACGGGCTCCGTCCGATGAGCAGGTGCACCCATGGCTCCCGGAAGGTGCCCTGTCGGGGCCCGCCCGGGTCCCGTGCGGTGCACTAACTATGTGTCCTCTGGCATCCGCACCTACTGTATATAAAGCTGCGTTGTACATTTTGAGATGCCGCCTTGAGGGGCTCAGACGGGCAATATTTATTTCAAATGGCCCCCGGCCGGACGGCACACGCCGTACAGTACGATACGTACGGTACCCTTGAATACCGCAAGACGCCCGTAAAGATTTTTCTTGAGAATTGACCCACAAAAATCGTGAGAGGCCGTCTGGGCACCGTCCAGGGCCCGCACGGGACCCGCAAGGTTCCCTACGCACCACGGCACCCGTACGACTTAAAAAATTGTCCCGGCGCTCGTAGGAACTTTACGGCAGCCGGCCGGACACCGGCCGAATGTTCCCAAAATGTCTGTATAAAAAATTATGTGAAAGCCCCATAATCAGACAGAAGATCGGCTTGTAAAAGTCATGGAGTTCCTGACTGACCTAAAGGCTTATAATTATCATTGCAGCATGAGCTAAATCTGGGATTTTGTTTCAGAATCTGAGACAACGTTACCGAGTCACAAACTGAACTGACACCATAGATCTCCCTGTCTCATCTCTCTCTCTCTCTCTCTCTGTCTCTCTGTGTGTCTCTCGTATCCTCTATACATGCTTGCTCGAATCTCTATCTTCCTCTCTCTACCTCTCTGATATGCCTGCATCCCGTCTATCCTTCCACCGTCTCCACCCCCCCCCCCCCTCTCTCTCTCGTATCCTATATACAGGCTTGCTCCAATCTCTTTCTCTCTCTATTAATATGCCTGCTCCATGTCTATCACTTCCCCCTTTTTTTTTCTCTCTCTCTGTCTCTGTCTCTCTCTCTCTCTCTCTCTGTGTCTCTCTCTCGTATCCTCTATACCCGCTTGCTCCATTTCTCTCTCTACCTCTCTGATATGCATGCTCCCTGATATGCCTGCTCCCTGTCTATCTCTCCACCCCACTATCTCAATATCTCTCTCTCTCCTTTTTGTTGTTCTCGTAATTACCCCTCTCACGACATGAACAAAAGTAAATGACACGAGGAGAAATTATTACGTCACTCCATTTAATGAGACTGCTTTGTGCACACCGTGTCAGAGAATAAAGCAGCTGATTAACAATCGGAACATACTGTTTAGATCATTGATTCCTTTTGAGGGGAGTGTATCATCTTTTGGACAACTGCACGTAAACGAATAGACTCACTGAATGGACTTGATTAACTGGGTCAGCGCGCTGGCGTTCGCGAAACAGACCGAAGTTCTCCCCACGCTTCGGTTTCGCGTATGTTGCACGCACGTGAATACGTGGGCCTTCTGCGGTCGCGTCGTCCGTAGACGTATAATACGGTATTATACCGCGGCCGTCAGATGGTAAAACGGTCTAACTCGAAATTTTGACTTTTTGAAGTAAATTCACTTTCCGAGTAATGTGAGGGCGCTATTTCCAATGGTGCTATCGAGAAAATCCCATCATGTCTTCTTTTAGAGATAATTTCCGCTATCTTGGTACTTTTTTGTATTTTTCCTTCAGATTTGATGGTAAAACGGTCTATCTCTGAGTTAGCCCATTGCCGGTAATATCGTGTGGGGGTAAAACGAGCTATCTTTAACATAAACCTTTTAACCTTCTGAATTGAGATTTTTTAATCATCGCTGTCAGATGGTAAAATGGTCTATCTTCGATTTAGTAGTATGGCAATAGTGTTTATGGTCTTTCTAGAAGATAGACCATTTTACCATTTTATGGTGTGTAGTGGGAGTGTATTCATGTGCTGTGGTTAAACAGTCTATCTGCACAAAAATCTCATTTATTTTATAATTAAAACCCCAAATAAGCACAAAATTCTTCAGTTATCAGTGTTTAATATGCTTCTTCTTGTCCTATTGCTAAAAATGGATTATACCCATCTCCTAAAAAAGCTGAAACCTCTAAACTTCAAAGTCTTTTTTCTCAGAACAGCGATTTTCGAGTTAGACCGTTTTACCATCTGACGGCCGACCAGTGGGGTGTTTCATAGAGAGTTCGTAAAGTTACGCATGACTTTACGAACGACTTGTATATGAAGTGCCAGATAGGATGCCCAAAGTTTTTTTCAGATATTTCCAATAACCTCAATTAAATTATGGCAAAAATATACTTTGCATTAAAAATGGTTGTTATAATAAGAATGTTAATCTACATCTGCAAAGTTCAACTTAATAAATAATAATCAATAATGATTGAGCAACCCACTTGGCTTTTCATATACAAGTCGTTCGTAAATTCATGCGTAACTTTACGAACAGCTTTATGAAACAACCCCCCCCCCCCCGATTGGCCCCGAGTAGGGCCACTGGAAAGACACATAGTCTCGTCATGATACACTCCCTTTAAAGGGATAGTTGAGTTCTGTTGCAGAGGGCGCTACACACAATATTTTTTTGTGAGAGAATGAAAAACTGAGTGTCAAATTTGAAAGAACATAATATTTAAATGACAAAATCATCCTTGTTTGATCAAAATCTGTTCAGAGATGGCTGAAATATACCGATTTCTAATATTTGTGTACCACCACAATAGATATTTGAAAAATTTGAAAAAACCGTTGAAAAAAACGAAATAACGCCTTTTACGTCCTATTTCAGCCAACGACGATGTTGGCTTTTTTTGTTGGCATTTTCGTATAGCTTATAATACCCACAATTAGCCGGCTCGTGTATTGTTATTTTCTATTCAATAATTAATTAACGGTCACCATGTTTTTTTTCAAAAGTGGAGCTGAATTGGTATGATCGTATTGGCTAAATTTCACACATTTTGGGGTCTAAAATTACCTCCATAGCAATTTTAGGTTCTAATAGGGTACTATAAATGTCATAGATAAGAATAAGAGCCATAACCATGCACTTTGAAGGCATTTGCGGTCTGAAAACAGAACTCAACTATCCCTTTAATGTATACACCTCAATGGTTACCTTTCCACGTTTCCTCTACATAATTATGAAGCACAGTCATGTACAAGATCGTACGCTTCGATGCATTATATCAAACAATCAAACATATTGCTCCGGTTGTCTCATTTTCGCTCGCTGGACGTATATAGCAGACGACAATCGGCGGATTAGACGACACTTGGTAGTGAATTTGTATGTGAGATTGCTTTGCTAAATGTAGTGGGCCAGTAAATGGGTTGGAGACGACAAGTTCAAATATAAATGAAAACAAAAGAAGCTCGGATATACAATTGAAGTCCACTTTATTAATTATATAAGTCAGCCGAAGCTGCAATCGTTACAAACGAAGAGTAACTATTTTAGAAACATTTTAAATATAAGCTGCTTCTCTCAGAGGCTGGGCGGCCCTATCGACAGTAAACTAGCAGCACATCCTAAGCATGTTAACGGAATGAAATAAACTCAACTAAACTCAACTAAAACTCAATTAAAAACTCAAATAAACTGACCTCAAAATCCCGCACATGGCATTTAAATACTCCAGCACTCGACGAGGCTTAGATACCACATGAGATTACCAGCCAATCAGGAGGACCCTTACGAAGACAACCAATTACAAGGTTGGATATATAAAATTACCCTTAGGTCATCCGACCAATTAAGAGAGGAGTTATACCTTTAATTAATTATAACCAATGACAAAGCATAATAGATAAGAGTGATTTGAACTAGTCACCGACAAAAATGGGAGGAGTTTATCTCTTCGCGAGAATATCAGGTCCCCGGAAACAGTCTATTATCTAACGTGTTATCGGAAATGAACACCTGTACATCTTAATGCAGGAATTCATTTCCAACGTGCTTATCGAAATGAACACTTTAATCTAATGCAAGAATTCAAAACCAGGGGTTGTTTACCCGTTCCCGGCATACTATTGGAAACATAATCAATGCTATTTAACTTTTAGGTGTATACCAAGTCAAACTAATAACCGTACAATTAATCAAAACTGCCTGGCTCCTCTATGGCTCTGCGCCCCCTTTAGGTCAATGTGTTGCCCAAATCAGCGTACCACAACATAAATATTGATTACAAAAACATTTTCCATATCTTTAAACTATCATTGATATCTGATAATTAAACAGTTATTAAAATAAACCTATACCAAACTACATAATAAAATGAAATACTTGACGTAGGGGAGCTTGATGTGGTGCACAATTACACCCCTCTGTAAATAATCGAATAGTCCATGGTGATCATGAATATTCATGTTTTTGCTTACCTCGGCAAAATGTTTGCTTTTACTAAATGGAAAAATTACGGTGGGGGGTTGGATGAAATGGACATAATGAACGAAGCAGAAGTGATCTATGATAATTCATGCTTCTTATCCTTCATGTACTTGAACTATAATCTTGCATTTGCTTGGCAAACTGAGTCCAAAGTTCGACTTGTTGCACATGTGTTATATAGTCAATGACGAGCTTGCAACCTATTTTGATCAAATTACGGTGGGTAAACTTTCAAAAGTCAATGGGACATGAGGGCTCTAATGAAAGAGCTAGTGATAACGTACGTCGGGGTGGATGTGGTTTTCGTTTAAACAAAAAATGAATTTTTAACGATTTTGGAGGGTAAAATTCCATAGGCTAACATGTTAGGCTGCTGACTCTGACGATAGAGGGCGTTGTGAAATGAGACTAAACGGAGCTATATGTGTTCCGGTGCATTGGCTAAACTGCCGTCAACAAAAAAAAAACTATATTGGCTTGATGTAAGCATATCGATACTTTACTTGAAACGAGATACATAAAATATATATATATATTTATTGCACTTTTATATTTAAGAGGCAAAGGTTAAGGTCAGTGATGACTGATAACCAATTATTTTTGTTTTCGCATTAATTTGACAAAAGTCTCAGTAAACGGAGATGTCGTCTGATCGACCACATGGAGAAGATCCCGATAGGCTGCTCCCCGAACTTCTCGATGAAACTATTACTTGGAGTATTACGATGCTGGTAAAATAAAAGTCAAGAGCAAGTATAAGAGTTGATTAAAATTGTATCAATTTGTTTCTCAGGTTTTGTTTCATGTAACCTAAAAAGGGGTATGCACCGATTGCATTTCAGAAAGAGTAGTCGAATGTGACATGTTGTGATTCTGCTCGCGGGAAAATGAAGAGGTGTATTATTATGTGCACTCTTAGTCAAGGGCAGTTTAGAATTAGATACAACTTTGCACATAAGAGGTAAAAATGAAAATATGCATGTTTGTTCGGTGAAGTGTACCCGAAGTTGATTACCCAGTGTTGGTAAACTCTTACCCAACAAACATGCACGGTCCGTTTTTCCGTCTTATGTGTAAAATTTAACCCAACTCGTTTAAGATTGTGAAGATGTATATGGGAAAAATATGAACCGAGGACAATTACCCCCCGAAGACAACTACCCCGAGGACGGTTCTAGGACAATTACCCCCTGGGCAATCAGCCCCCGGAAAGTTACCCCCCGGAAAACTACCCCCCAAGGACAATTACCCCCCGGAGAATTACCCCCCGGAGAATGACCCCCCGAGGACAATAACCCCCTAAGGACAATTACCCCCCGGACAATTCCCCCCCCCCGGAGAATGACCCCCCGAGGACAATTACCCCCCAAGGACAATTACCCCCCGGAAAATTACCCCCCGGAAAATTACCCCCCGGAGAATTACCCCCCCGAGGACAATTACCCCCCAAGGATAATTACCCCCCAGAAAATTACCCCCCGAGGACAACTACCCCCGAGGACAATTACCCCCGAGGACAACTACCCCCGAGGACAATTACCCCCCAAGAACAATTACCCCCCGGAAAACTACCCCTTGAGGAATTACCCCACGAGGACAATTACCCGCCCCCGAGGACAATCCCCCCCCCCCCGGGAAAATCAGGATTCAATAGCAAAAGACGATCTGACACGTTGAGAGATGCTGTGAAGGCTACGAGCCCATAAAATCCCGTGCATGAACCCACATTCGTTCAAATACTTGCGCGTGATCTTCCTCATTACTACACATTTTTCTTTAACTATAATGTATGCAACAACACTGTGGTTGCTGTTTTCTACGAAGGATTTCTCTTGTGCAGCGTTATTTCAACTTTTTGTTCGACACGATGCCCTCTTAAGAAATGAAAAGTTTCGCCCAATCTTAAATTCTTCACAAACTATTTATTTTGCATCACTCTGGCACTCGTCAAGTGCTATGTACACACGTATGGGCACATTTGTTTCTTGGTTTAGTGAACGAGCAAGAAAAACAAGGACAAGACATTTTCAAAATGGTAAAACATAATGTTGTAATCAACACACTAGCACAGATTTAAGGTATGCGGGCACCTCACCGCCGAATTTACACGAATATAAAGTGAAATATTCGGTCATGACCTTGATACACGAATATGAGGATATTCGGGCCTCTCGTTGCCTTGATTCATTATGTTTATAATTGTGATGAGTGTGGTAACAATGTAATGTCGAAATAAAAGATATATATTCGCAAAATATTGTCAGCGAGCGAGGAAGAAAGACATTTTATTATTTGTTTACATTTTATTTTCTCATGAAAATAAATACTCTACCCGTTTCTGGTATTTGTTTTTCACAAAATCAACGTTTGCCAAAAACAATTGTCATGTAACTAACATTCTCTTGCGGCACCCCAATTGAAAAAACGCTGCTCTGGAATTACAAAATCATTGAGATGAATGTACCCAAGTGCGGATACTTATTTTCTTTTAATATGGCACCGTACATACCATATATTTAACTTGAAGGCAATTTTTATTTCAAAATAAATCACAGTACAAGAAAACATATTTTAGTTCACCATGACAACAGAAATATATATATATATATATATATATATTACATTACATTTATAAACATGAAGAGAACCTTAATTTTGGAATAGATCATGGATGAGGGCCCATTATACATACAAAGACAAATATACGATCAGCTGATTAGAAAAGTTACAGAGTATGCATAAATAATGATATCTTACATCCTAATTTCTTTGTTGGGCCATTTTGGGGGAGACTAGCTGTATTAACGCGTACTCATCTGCGCGCAATGTATTGTTAAATTTCTAAGAAATGTAAATTCCGTACTTTGATTTGATACATGCGTCTTCTGGCAATTGAATTCGATTTGATACATGCGTCTTCTGGCAATTGAATTTGATTCAATACACGTGGCATATTAAGTCATACTTTACAAAGGTGGAATGGATACAGAGCAAGAGGGGTGGGTGAAATCTCCTCCTTGGAGGATACATGTACGTCAAGCAAAAAGATTTGGCAGATGGGTACGAGGGCTTTGAATGTGAGCTACGAATATAAATATAATTTATACACAACCCCTGTACGAAACAAATCTATTCCGTCATAAATAACTAAGAAAATGAAAGTTCATGACATTTTCTCTGAATAGCAATTTGAAGAGAAGCTCGCATTATACGTCACAGTGTTACAAATTCCCTTGGTGTGATTGACCTCGGGCCGCGGTAATGGTGTTTCGAGGGGGGGGGGTAATTGTCCTCGGGGGGTAGTTGTCCTCGGGTGGTAATTGTCCTCGGGGGTAGTTGTCCTCGGGGGGTAATTGTCCTGGGGTAGTTGTCCTCGGGGGTAATTGTCCTCGGGGGGTAATTGTCCTCGGGGGTAGTTGTCCTCGGGGGGTAATTCTCCGGGGGGTAATTTTCCGGGGGGTAATTGTCCTTGGGGGGTAATTGTCCTCGGGGGGTAATTCTCCGGGGGGTAATTTTCCGGGGGGTAATTGTCCTTGGGGGGTAATTGTCCTCGGGGGGTAATTCTCCGGGGGGTAAATTTCCGGGGGGTAATTGTCCTTGGGGGGTAGTTTTCCGGGGGGTAATTTTCCGGGGGGTGATTGCCCAGGGGGTAATTGTCCTGATACGCCCGAGGACTACTACCTCCCGAGGAAAATCATCCCCGAGGAATTTGCAACAGTGTGACGTATAAATTTGAGCTTCTCTCCAAATTGCTAGTTAATATTTCATAAAATTCCAAGTGATTTTTCGCGGGAAATTACTGTCTGTCATTTGTTAATCACCTATGTGGTAGAATTATCTAGATAGTTATTATCTTGGTAATTCAAGATGTATCGGGAATATTATGTCTGACACCGCCATTGTAAAACGTACTGAATTTAATACTCACGCTAGGCATGTTTAAATGGGTCTTCGGCGGATGGGTCATCAACTGTACCGTTTTGTGAAACGCTGCCCAGATCTTCGAAGAAAAGAAAGGAAAGGAAAACAGAAAACACAAAATGTAAGACATAATTAATTCTTAACGTGAATATGGACGAACGTAAACAAAACACTACCTTCTTATTTCTCAATGTCAAAGGCATCAGAGACAATTAAAACGAAATAAAATATTTTCTTGGATACAGCATCAGAAATCAGACATTGTTGTGATTCAAAAAACATTTTTTACACCGGAATTGGAAGTCATGAAAGCAGAATTGAATTATTATTATTTCCGTAATCATGGCACAAATCGCTCAATTGTTGTAACTATATGTGTATACGCAAAAACAAATATGATGAACCACTTGAACATTTTATACATCTTGATGAAACAGAAGTAGCCATTAAAGATTGGAATGTGAGGAAATTTCATTTTTAATGTTATGCACCCACCAAACGTTGCAAAAGAGAAGCATTTTATGAGAATTTATTCCAATGGTTGCAAAAGGTGATTATGTAAAATATGATGTTTAGGTGCTGGTTCGAAACTGGAATTGCAGACATAATGCCCAGCTGGATACTCGTGGTATGTCGTATGCATTTAGACAGGTTGGGTGGTTTAGGAAATCGACCAAGTTTTTTAATCTAACTGATGTTTGGCGAAAAATGTTTCCATTTAGCCAACTATACTCTTGGCGTCAGTTAGTCACTAAATATAATATTTTCACGTCTTGACTATTGGCTGGTAATAGATTTAATTTTGTGTTATGCGCAAACAACTGATATAAAGCCAGTTCCACAATGTGACCATTGTGCAGTCACCCTTAAGCAGGGCTCCCACTTAGCCGAGTTGGAGCCTCGAGTTGTGGCGAGCTGGCACGAGCTTATGGCAAGCCGTTTTATCATTAAAACATATTTCTTGATATCACGAAATCGAATTCTTGATATCAAGAATTACCATTGCTTTACAACGTAAAATTATTTCTTGATATCAAGAATTGATTTCTTGATATCAAGAAATATGTTTTAATGCTAAAACGGCTTGCCATAAGCTCGTGCCAGCTCGCCACAACTCGAGGCTCCAACTCGGCTAAGTGGGAGCCCTGCTTAAGACTGAAAACCGTTATCACTTTTAAGGGATGTGGTTCATGAAAAATTAATAATTCACTTTTTAAGGATACCGACTATAAAGTGAAATCAAAATTTGGTTCATAAATTTGAATTAGGAACTACAGACCAAGATGCGCAGATGAAATGGGAAATGTGCAAAATCAGAATTAAAGAATATACTATAACATATAATAATAATAATAATAATAACGAGAAATAACAGGGGTCACGTAAAGCCATGGTACTTGTTTTTATAAGAGTATGCCTATTGTGTCCTGGCTGTTTACTAAAACGATGGTAAAACCATGGTATTTTTTAATAGGTTTGTTTATTGTGTCTTGTCTGTTTACTAAAACGATGGTAAAACCATGGTACTTTTTTTAACAGGTTTGTTTATTGTGTCTTGTCTGTCTACTAAAACGATGGTAAAATCATGGTACTTTTTTAACAGGTGTGTTTATTGTGTCTCGTCTGTCTACTAAAACGATGGTAAAACCATGGTAATTTTCTAACAGGTTTGTTTATTGTGTCTTGTCTGTCTACTAGAACGATGGTAAAACCATGGTACTTTTTTAACAGGTGTGTTTATTGTGTCCTGTCTGTCTACTGCAATATACAGGAATGCGAATGAGGCTGCACATAGTTCTATAAATGAGGCCTTTTCTGTCATAATTGTAATCATATCATTACTACCATTACCATCATCAACGCATCATCATCATCTTTATCATTCACCAACACCACCATCACTATCATAATCACCGTCGCCACCATCATCACCACCATTATTATCGCATCACAGTCATTACATCATCATCATCACAATCATCATCACCATCATCCTGGCCATCACATTATTTTCATCAGCCTTACCGCCGTCACATTTGAATTCATCTTCTTGGCTGTAGACACACTCGTATTCCCCATTGCACTTGTCATTGGCCCAGTCCACGCAGTGAGGAGATCCAATACATAGACTCTCATGGCTCTCGCATGCTTTAAAAGAAAAGCAAACAAGAAATGACATGTGGATGCATCCCAAACTTTAAGGAATCGTTGAATCTATGGAAACTATGTCCACCTAGTACCCCATAAAAGCTTTTAGGAAAGATCAAGTAAGTCACATGCTTGTTGGGTTCTCGTCGACCTCACCTTGAGGAAATTTGGTAGTAAAAAAAATGGAAAAAACATGAAGAAGACTGTTTCTGTCTGGCGGGGGGGGGGGGGCATTAGGTGAAACGGCCGATCCCTGCGAAAATTGGATGCATGTCAAGTAAAATGTATAAAATACTTCAGTAAACTCAATTTTTAGAAAAATTTACTTATTTGCATATTTGTATTTAGTTTGTGCAAATAAGGTAATAAAATTAACATTTTTACCATAAATCATATATTTTTCATATTAAACCATTTTTTTCTCACTACATAATATTATACTCATTAGACCATTTGGAAAATTAATGTGAATTTTTTTTGGAAGAACCAGGTTATTCCTTATGTTATCTCTTGTTTTGATAATTTTTTATGTATATCATTGTTTAATTTAACTTATGTATTTCATTGTTTTGGTTGTTTTATTTGATTTCTAACTACAATTCTACTATTTTGGCCTCCAAAACAAAAACCTAAACTTTAAACAAGACCAAATAACAAATGTTTTAACTCTTTTTAGGAAAAATGATATTTCGATAGGTTTTTTTTTTACACAAATCACGAAAATGAGCGATTTTGGGGCTGACATGCAAAGACAAAAGGTCACGTGACTTTGTAATTGTATACGTTCGATTTTCAAACAATTTTTTTTTAAAGATGCCCAAGACTCGAAAGGAAAAAGTCAGTGAGCGGCGGGGCTTCATCCGTATGCGTTACTGAACACTCAGAAAAATCGCGGAGGGGGGGGGGGGGGGGGGGGGGGGGGGCATAATGACTCCCCCCCCCCCCTGGCCTAATTAGGGTTAACCCATTGCCTACAGGAATCAAGTTGTCCCTGTATTAAGCCAATGGGCATCAGAGAATTCAGTAGTCAAGGGGTTAAGGGGTAGTCAGCTACATAACACATTGCGCAGAATATAAGGATAAATGTACAGGACACATTCCATAGAAGCCACCAGAAAAGAGTGCAAGGTTCTTACCTATGGCTGTGACCCGTAGCTGGACAGAAGCATTTATGCCTTTGGGGAAATTGATCAGAGCATAACCTGTGTTGCTCTTGAGAGAAAAGTTCCAAGAGTTGCTAATGCTTGCTGCGTAACCTCCATATGCCAAGTAAACGTAAAGAGTTGCATCGTCTGTGGGGTCGTCTCCAGCACCAGCAGAGATTTCGTGCAAGGAGACTAGCGGGCCCTCAGACCAGGTAAAATTCAGTAACTCCATGAAAAGGGTTGTACCTGGTTCGCCCTGAAATACATAGTGTGTGAACTTTTTGAAGTTGCTTGCTGGGGTGTTGCGATTCTCATCACCACCAGAGCGTTGGTCAATAGTCACCCAGTCTCCAGTTGGTACCTGAACATTCTCTAGGATGGGGCAGAGACAATTAAAGCAAAACATATCAATGATGTACATTCTCTTCTTTGATTTTATAACGAACCTTTACATTACGAAAAGCTCTCGTTAAAAATATATGCCACCACTACTACACAGGAACCAATGTAATTCAGGTGGGGTATCGTGACCCCCATTTCGTTTCTCTCGTCAAAATTTGGACAGAGCCTTGCAGCTCTGCCTGATAGGAAATGTGAAGTAGAAAATATACATGTCCAAAAGTCAATCAAAATTTACATGAAGACCAAAATGAAAGTTCGAACAAAGCAAAATGACCCAGTATTGGCGATATATAACAACTAGCTTTCTCCCTTCCTCTCTCCCTCTATCATGCTTATCTCTCTCTCCCCCTCTCTCTCTCTATATAAGTGGTCTCTAAAGGCAGGTAATCGTTAAATAAAGGTAGTCGCTATCAGAGACTTACTGATGAATTCAGAATGTCTACAGAGACTCTCAGACTCATCTTCCTGTCCTGGGCAGTCGATATAGAAGTCACAAACCCGAAAATCATTCAGGCACTTGGAGCTTCCACTACATGCGAAACATCCTGTACATAATGATAATAACAATACAAAATAATAATAATAATTTGAAGACGGATAGGAATAATAATAATGACAGTTATACTTACATAAATAATAACAAAAATAGTTTTTTTTTTAACATCACTTTATTGTTCAAACTTGCACAACAAAGGAAAACAATAGCCCAGGACAATTCCATTTTACTGGAAAATGCAGGGAATTAAAAGTATATACATGTAGATACAGTGAATAATGAAATGTAACATCAACAAAAAATAACGAACTTTACAACATAGTGAAAGCTGAGGAGTTATGGATATTCCTAGCTATAGATGAAAAAAGAGGAGCTAAATATTGAAATTTCATTTGATATATCAACTTAATAAATACGAAGCATACATAATGAGTATTATAAGAGTTTGATTTGAGTTAATGTTTAATACAAAGAGGATTCTATCAGTGCCAGGCAATGAAAATAGGCGAGCAGTAGAAAGAAAACATAAGATTGGTTACAAGGTGTATTAACCAATTTGTGTGTGAGTAATTACATACTTGAAATGCGAAGGGGAGTTTTGGTTTCCCATTTATTTGCATTCTTTGAGTAATAGATGACAAACGGAGAAACAATAGATAGTTTGGATAGAGTCTGTCGAACTTGTTTCAGATTGACAGGTTTTCCAATTTCTTTCAACAGCTGCTTTAGTCTCGTCACATTGTCTGGCGAAATATGACCTCTAGAGCCGATTTCCAAAGGAAGATACACCACAGAATATCCATTAGCCTGTATATCTGCAACTAACGGGGCATATTTGTTCGATTTATATTCATGTGCCTTATCTACATTCATTTCAAAGAGAACTGACAATTAAAGTATGAGGATTTTCTTTAAGTTCTTCCAAAAAACACAAATGTCTTGGATGAGGTTGGTTTGGGTACACTCTAGTGGAATTGTGGAGATGTCTTATTTTGTCCATCGCTCTACTTTCAGGTCTGGGTACATAATAGTGTCGCTAAGAGAGGCGATGCCTTCTTGAATAATTTCGGCAAGATTCAAAAGTATGTTGTCATGGCGCCAAGTATAGCGCCCCTCGTCAAGTGACACAGGGCATGCGTTCAATACATGGTGTACTGTTTCTCTATTTTCACATTTTTTACAGTTTGCTGATGCCCTTTTACCCCATCTAGTAAGGTTTGCATTCGTATTAAGTGTATCTGAAAGCGAATTAATGAGAAATTTTGCTTTAATAAGCTTTAATACGCTCTCCCCGCTTTACGCAATTCGTGACAGATCGCCTCAAATCTTTAAACAGTTAAACATTTTTTGGCGCTCTTGCCGAATGTCCCGAATTGCTCAAAGCTTTCTCACGCTCTATTACGGTCTTTACGCTTTAATTAAGCTTTGTTACGCTTTGCCGCCGCTTTGCTCGCCGATTTAATTCGCCATCAATTCGGCGTCGGTGTGAACTTAGCATTACAAATTTGAGGCGATCTGTCACGAATTGCGTAAAGCGGGGAGAGCGTATTAAAGCTTATCAAAGCGTCACAAAGCTTATCAAAGTTTTGCTCAAAGCGTAGGAAAGCTTAACAGAGTTTAACAGAGCTTGGTTCAAAGCGGTGACCCCACTTTGAACGCTCTGTCACCACTTGACACGCTTTGTTAAGATGTCAGAGCATAACAAATCTGAGGAGATCGTGAGATTTTTTGAAAAGTAAACAAAAATGACGCCGAATTGATCGCCGATTTAAAGCGCGACATTCGGCGTCGGTGTGAGCTATGCATAAATGATTAACCTTAGCATCACAAGTTGCTCTTATTCTTGTGTAGTTTATTGTGTGAGCTTCATAGTATAGATCAGAAATGTTGAGTATGTTAACCCTAATAAGGCCGGGCTATTTGAGGTCTTACTATGGCCGGGGGGGGGGGAGGGGGCATTATGGCCCCCCTTAAGATCTCGGCCGCGAAAATTTGCACGCATGTCAAGTGAAGTGTATAGGATAATAAGATAATTTCAATTTTTTGAAAAATTCACTCATTTGCATATTTATGGTAATTTATGCAAATAAAGTCATAAAAATCACATTTTTACCCATCAATCATATATTATTCATATTTAAGCATTCTTTTCACTACATATATTCATTAGACCATTCTGAATAATAATACATCAAAAAATTTGGAAGAGCCAGCTTATTCCTTATGTTATCCCTTGTTTTGATAATTTCTTATGTATTTCATTGTTTTTTTAACTTATGTATTTCATTGTTTTTGTTGTTTTATTTCATTTCTTACTACAATTTAACTATTTTGACTCCCAAAACAACCACCTAAACTTTAAACAAGACCAAATAACCCATGTTTGATCTGATTTTAGGAAAAATGACTTTTACATATGTTTTGTACACAAATCACGAAAATGAGCGATTTTCGGGCTGACATGCAAAGACAAAAGGTCACGTGACCTTGAAACCGTAGGTCCGATTTTCAAAAAAATGGTTTAAAAAGTTGCGCAAGACTCGAAAGAAAAAAGTCAGCGAGTGGCGGGGCGCCATCCATATGCGTTCCCGAGCAATCGGAAAAATCGTGGAGGGGGGGGGCCATAATGGCCCCCCCCGGCCTTATTAGGGTTAAGACATTCTGGCATATGAAGGAAGGCCAACGTGGCCTTAAAGCATCTAGTAGTTTTAGATGAGTATCAGTGAGCTCATTGACTGTGAGGCGGAATCTTAGTGATGGCAGAAAATAGTCAGGAAATACTTTCAGTTTGAATTCATTACGTACCAGAGCTTTATCAATATTTGTAACAACGACTTCAATCATTGATTGATAATAATATTATCAAAATTGATGAAAATAATAATAGTGATAACAAATTTCATTTCTATAGGGTTCATACAAATAAAGTGCTTTACATCAATTTGTTAAAACTATCAAAGAAATGGTGCATAGTTAAAAGAATTAACAGCTTATACAATGTTTAAACTACATTTATAAAGGAAGTAGTAAGGCGAGGAGGTGAGTTGGCTCAATCGGTAAAGCCTCTGCCTGTAAAACCAAAGAAAGTGGGTTCGAATCCAACCTAGGCGAATGACTGCAAGCTTGCGTTGCGTGTTAATGTGCCCGTCCTGTTTCATTAATGCAGGCTATTGGAAAACACTCTGCTCCTTGGAAATTAAATGGAGGCCCCGTGTAGACTGAGGAGAGTGAACAATCATGAACAATTATCATGATGGTTGTATAACTTGCTCCTGCAACAATAATTGTTCTGCGTCGATTTCCTGCACTAAATGATGTTTTTTGTAAACCTCAGCCTTGACCCAACACTACAGATATACATAATCCTAACCAAAGCATAAAATCTAACACTCGGTTCCACAATGGTAATACAAATTTTGAATTTCACAATCCAATCCTGTTGAAATATTACCAAAACTTTGTATCTGGCTCACAAATGGGAATATTCAGAAAAATGATAACTTCACTTTATAGAGGCAGAGCTATGATATTAGGATGTAAATATAGAATAGTCTGACTGTTTTATGCTGAATAATACCAAATCTATTATTTAAGTCGGAATATATTTTTAGATTCATCAACACAGCCTCCTGCCTCGTATACTGTATTGTTCGGGCTACTTCATTTAGCCAAGCTACCATGACAAAATTAATAGTTCAAACTTCAGTATTGTGGCATGAATACCCATCCCCGTCTCGAGGAACAAAAACGGAAAAAAAAAGAAAGATTAAACTAGAAATAATAATAATAATAAACCGTTTTTTATATAGCGCTCAATACACCGATCCAACGATGTGCCTAAGCGCTTTACAGATATATTATTACCCCGGTCATCGGATTCTTGCTTACCCGCACACAATGTGTGCACATTTTCCACTCCCTGGGGGGCATTCCAGCCAGTCGCCATTTTACAAGCGCACACTTGCTCGTCCAACCACATAAACGTTCGCATCCTTCCGGGTACCCATTTAACACCTGGGTGGAGAGTAGCAAGTGCCTTTAAATATCTTGCCAAAGGATATTAGTGCCGTGTCGGGATTCGAACCCTCGACCTTCGCATCTACAGTCAAGCGCCTTAAACCACTCGACCACGACACTCCCAAATGCAATCGTGTCAAACGAAAGAGCTTCTCTCGGACTATCCAGAGCAATTTGTACGAAGTCTGTAGCTTCTGTGAAACTGTAGATAGGTAGGGCGAAAGAAAGGCCTTAACAGGGACCTTCATGATGGGGGTGGTAGTGACCTTTGGTAGTGAATATACGCCTACGAAGCAGTCTGAAAAAATGACGTCATGACCGATAAGTGTTATAATCGGGCGGAAAATCGGCGGAATTCGGATAGTGACCCTTGTTCAAATGCGATTTACTCAAGATTTTATGTGTGAACATATACCATACTTGGTATCATTCGAAAGGGCACTTCATTGTGGTCAATGTGACACCCTTGTCATCTGCGCGCAACGTACTGCACGCATCAGACGCGCTATTACGTAATGCAAAGTAAATTCATCATTTTTGGCGATAACTTTGCGAAAAGGGTATAAAAAATTACTAAACTTGGCAGACAATTGTCACGTATATGGATACATGTGTCTGCTAAGTTTCATTGAGATAGGGGTCTGCCAAGCCATAATGGAGATACGGACACAGAAAGAAAGCCAATTCCCAGAATTTTAGAGGGCGCTATTCATGTTTTGCAAAGTCATTGGAGCGTGAAATGTGGCATGGCTATGTGCAATTATGAGATAAAGATACTGTAAGATTTAAATACAAAACGAAATTTATATGAGAAAGTTATGGCAGTTTTAGATTATTAAGGGGTCAATTTTTAAAGAATTTGAGAGATTTTTGACAGAGTCGGTTTCAGATTTGAATTTTGAGTACAAAGATGGCATTTTGAAGGGCAGGTTATGCATCGCAGACTAAAAAACATCTCTTAGACTATCTAGAGGAATTAGTTACAAGTTTGTAGGATCTAGGATAGTGGAGATAGGAAGAAAGATAGAAAGGCCTTAAAATGGACCAGAAACGGACAAAATGGCGCCTGGACGGTTATGCATGAGTGATTTCGAGAATCGAAGAATGTAGCAACCTTGATGAGATGTTAGAGACTATGCCTATGAAATTTTAAAGGAAAAGGACATGAGGAACGCACCTAACTATGAATAACAAGCACTACGTGCAAAACGAATGGGACTCCGGACGAAAAGAAGGAAAAGAAGAAGTAAGAATATTAATAAGAAGAATGTGAACGAAAACAATGAAACGACGAAGGTCATCATTGCAAAAATAAGAATAAATATAAAGTTGAACAATTTACCTGTACAGTTGAATTCATCGATACCAATTGGGCAGTCATATATACCATCACATACATCGCTTGCATCGTAACACGTATTATCAAAGTAACATTGACCCTGGTCTTCGCCGCAAACTACAAAAGGAAAAGGAAAACGTTAATAATCCCATTTTATGGTCTTTATAATAATGAAACCTGTACTGATGATGGAAAGTATAACGAGAAATTTAATTCGTCACTGAGGACGAATAAGGTGGTCTGTTATTAAATCTTGTGGACGCTGATCTTGTTATGGATTGTTACAGCTACAACATATCGAAATTTGGAAGAAAATCGATCAACATTTACATAGTTACAATCCATTTTCGATAAATATGCAAATTCGTATTTTGAGTTCTAAGACCAATATGATGATGTCATGATATACTTAAAGGGCAAACTGAGACATGAAATCATTTTCCCGACGCATACTCTATTTGATTATGAATAAAATTGGGGTCCCCGGGCATCCGAAAGAGCTATAATGGATTTAGTATAGGCATGTTTTTTTCCTCCATATATGCTATGTATTACAAGAGCTTGCACGCACGGACATATATCTTGAATGGACGTTCATTTCGTTATTACTGGTCATAAAGAAATAAACATGGTATCAAACTGTTCGGAAAGAAATGGTCAATAACTTTAGTGAAAGAAAATGGCGATTCTACATTACGTACGACCATTACGCACGAAAACGCGCGCGCATAGGTGTGCGCACACACATTTTTTGAAATGCTGCAAATGGCCTGAAGCGTACTCTAACTTGATCAAAAAGTGATTTTGAGCATTTTTAATTTTTGTTTTTCAGTTTCAGTTTAGTAATGAAAATGACGAAAATCCATCGAAAGTAAATTGAGAGAAAATGGAAAAAGTTTAAATGAAATTAAATCAATCGTTAACATATAAATGTAGAGGAGCTGACAGTGGGTTAAGACTAAACTGGATGGAATATGGTAAAAAATCATTATGCTGGGCCGAATTTAAATGTTATAAAAACAAAAGCAATAACAATGTCAACTCAATTAAATGTCCTTTCGTAGTCATATAACACATGTTCAACAGAGTGTTAGGTACCAATTACGTAATCTAAGATTCATATGAAAGTGTTTATCTAAACCTGCGGCTGAGATCTTAATTCATGCTTTAATTTCTTCTCGATTAGATTTTGCAAATTCATTGTTCTCTAACCTTCCAAAAAAAGATGTCAGAAAACTGCAACGACTTCATAATTCTGCAGCCCGCCTATTAACATTCACTAAGAAATCTGATTCTATATCACCAATTCTCCGTTCTCTCCATTGGTTGCCAGTTGAAAAAAGGATTATTTTTAAAATTATGTTACTTGTACATCATTCAGTTTACTCTCTTTCTTCCCCTACATACCTGAGCAACTCTGTTTCAAAATACAACCCCACACGAAGTCTTCGCTCCTCATCAGACACACTATTACTTAATACACCCAGAATAAAACATGCTTGGGGGAACGGGCTTTCTCGGCCATGGGTCCAAAACTGTGGAATAAGCTCCCTCTAAAATTACGTCAACTGTCATCGACAGAAACATTCAAATTACAACTAAAAACCTATTTGTTTCTTTCGTTGTAATTATTGCAATATTCTAATTTACTATGTCTAGGAGAATTCCGAATCTGTTTTTCGGTTTATTGTTTTTTCTTTCTTATGCCTGTTACATGTACTCTTTTCTAAGCGCCATGAGCACCAAAAGGTGGACCTGTGCGCTATACAAGTAGCCACTATTATTAATTAGAATTCACAAAAGGCTTAAAATGGAATGATGATCCAGTCAAGTAACTGGGCAATTACCTCTCTAAGGAAATTTGAAAAAGCAAAATCAATCCTTAATTTTTGGAAAATGAGAAATGTATTCATGGTAAAGTTGTTATTATCAAACTGCTAATAATCTCAAAATTTGTGTAAACTATTTCAGTATTACCAAAATATCTCCGTTGTCTTTTATATTAAAAAAACAAATTGTTTTCTTAGAGATTGTTGATGCTTTTTTCAAAACATAATATGCCTAATTAGTACGTTGAGTTGATGGTATCCTGGAGTGAACTTAGATATGTTGGAATTTTTTTAATATACAAACATGTTCGAAATAAAGTATGATGGTACAATAGCTATATACAACTTGAAATATATTTCAAAAATTGGTTTAACAATGGGATTTTCATAATTAATGATGTTATAGAAAATGGAAATTTTATATCTGGAAATCAACTTGTTATGCACTTGGTTCGAACTCATTGTTGGTTGACTTCATGTATTCGAAGCTAAAAAAAAGCGATCCCTAAAACATTGATCACACGAATTCATTTAGAAGTCCATCAGCATGATGATGAGACTGCACGATTATGGTAAATATTGAACTCAGAACAAGTGATGCTATTATTTCATTTTTCATTTCATTCCATTTTTGTTCATACTCCATCAAAAAAACATTAAAACATACAGACATGGTCTACAGATAAAAGATTTATTACAAGAAAAATACGAAGGGAAGGAGCAAACAAAATTGTATGTGAATGTGGGATTAAGAAGGGGGCAATCAGCCTTATGAACGTCAACCCCTTAAAAAATATACACTGTAATGTTGAGAAACAAAAGCAGTGAAAACCTTAACAACAATACAAAAGAAGAAGGAACACAAAAGTGGGAAGGAGAAGAGAAGGGGAGGGGAGAATACATTACAAAGTGCATTAACTGAAACGTAACGTCATTTTTTTTAGATTGAATGTAATGATAAAAGATGGGATTTATACAATCGTTTACAAATATTCATTGAATTATAATTGTTCATATTAAACGGGATATTTTTCCATTGAAAGTGGCTCTTAAAAAAAACAATGTATTTTTTGAAACATTTGTACGGATTTTAGGAAAATGAAAATTACCAGCATTACGAGTTTCATGAGAACTTATTTCATAATTGAATGTAAATTTACATAACACGGACCTTGGCAATAAACCCTTGGAACACATATAAATATAGCAATATTAAAAATATTTATCATTTAGAAGCTTTAATTGTTGAAAAAGTGGCAAAGTGTTGGCACAGAACGGGGCATCGTTAATTAATGAACAGCCTTCTTTTGTAATACAAATAATTTCGTCATAAAATAATCAGAACCATTTGACCATGTAATATTACAATAGTTAATATGTGGATTTATCAGGGCATATTACAACACAATCAAAATATATCTTGGGAAGTGTCTTAATCGATAAAGAATACCAACTCCCTTAGCAACTTTGTTACATATGACACCACTGTGCTCATGCCATGCCTATCATCGATGTAGCCACCATGACCAGCACTAGTTCCATTTTTCAAAGAACAAACAATATCAATAATCTCTTTACAAGTTACAGGTGGAAAAAAATGCAGTCTTGTCATTTCTTTTAAGATTATTACGATAAAACGATTTAGAATATTGAACATTATTTGTTAACTTAATTTTTATATTAGATTGTCAACAATGAAATCAAAATCATTTCAGGGCATTGGGAAGACAAAAAAAAACATCTTCTCGATTTTTACTGGAGAAAGATATTGAAATCTAAATTTAAAGTAATACAAAACAATAAAGTTAAATAATTCCTTTTTAAAGCACTTCACTGTATAATACCCTTCAGATATCATTTATGTAAATGAAAATTTGTGTGTGCTTATTGCAAACAACAGAATCATTTGTTCATGTTTTGTTACAATGCCCCAATGTTATTACATTATAACATTATTCTGGGAACGCAATGTTGCATTTATTCACTATAACTTCATAACAATCACAGATATGAAATGAAAAGCATTTGATTCTTTGTATAGAATCTCACTGCTCAATTGAAAACTTTATAAATACTAGTATATTCATAACGTTCGCACAATAATGTACAGGTGTATATGTTTAATTACCTTTATGGAAAAACGTACAATAGCTTTTTGATATGGCAAATGTTTAAAAACAAACTGCATATAGATAAAATCACATTTATCTAATGCTTCTCAGCATTTTACTACGGGATTTTAAACTATTACAATATTTTCCCATTTTTGTAAACAATGTAAAGTGAATGATTATGAATTACGTATTTAGATCCTCTTAATGTAATTATTGCTGTTGAATGTATTTATATTTATTTTACACATCCTTTTAATGTTGTCGATATTGATGATTTGAAAAATTATTGAATAAATTACCTCTGAAGAAGAAAATATATTCTAAAAATCAATCAAATGTCAACGATGGTTGTTCGAGCCTGACTTGTAAGAAATAAACATGTCCTTCATAATTGTATTGTTTTAATGTTATGCAAAGTGTTTTTGATAAAAACTATGCAAATTGATAGTCATCTTATATGTCATGATTTTCTTTAGTAGGCTACTCCCCTTGTAGTCTTTAAAACAGCACACTCATTTATAATTACCATGCCGGTGAAAATGACCATCGTAAATATAACCAATCAAAATTAGCAATATTACTATTATCAACTTAAAGGTGAAATTCAAAGAAAATCACAAATATGTCGACTAATGTATCACTAGAAACTGGTAAGCTAAGAGATGGTCATTGTACAAGTTTTAGGTCAACTACATATCGGATGATTTATAAAAATACAAATACAACCACCTCCATAGCAGCTGGGGTATACGAAAGATTCGCCGGAAAAAATAACGATGTTTTAATGACGTGACTATATGGACCAATACTGCCCAAGCAGACGACATCCCATAAAGAATGAACATATTTGCAAAGCTATTATTTCTCAAATTATAATGAGTTTAGTGTATATAATGTAAGGGCATGTCAAACCATTCCAAAGGGGATATGACCCGATTCTGATAACTAAAATCTTTTGCTTGTAAATGTGTGAGATGTCATGGGACATCGTCTGCTTGTGCAAATCATGTCCATACTGTGATCTCACACATCTCAGCAGCGTTCGGAGAGCTCTTCAGGTGCTATTCCGGGGCTGTATTTAAGCGTTTTGTAATTTGTAATAATCATTACTTCGAATGTTTCCAAGCATTGATTTTTGATAACCTTCTCGAATCAAAGTTTCAACTTTGCAATAATGAAAATAAAGTAAGTTTTTAAAATCAATGAATATCTACTTTAAACGTTAAATATAGCATTGATCATGTTGAGGGTGGTAACGGTGTTGGTAAAGATGACAACGAAAGAAATATATCTTTCCGCCTTTTAACGTTGGTCTTCATTGACCTTTCTTATTTTCATGACTATCTAATAGAGGTGTTGAATCCAAAAATGAAAGGCACGTAATATTATTATTCATAGAAGGAGGATTCTATTTAATGTGCATATTTCTTTAGATTTTGAGATATTGATAATAAAGCTTGACTTACGAACACAATTTAGTACTTTCTTTCCCTTACAAAACAGTTTCGACCGAATTAAACGCACGGCTCCAATACCAAAATAAAAGACCAAAATTGATCGAAGCAATAATAAATCAATAAATCTAATCATATCAAACAAACCCTGGCTGGTAACTAAATTCATCTGGAAATATCATTGGTAGGGATAAGAAGTGACAAGTATCCGTCTAAAAGTGTTAAATCAGCGGATTAATGGGATCGTTTAGCAATGTTAAATCTGAGATACACGGCCCTACTTGTTACCAGTGTCTGTGATATGGTGTAATATTGAAGCCCTAAAAAAAATGCGCTTCAAAATGATCAAGAAGTGCCTCAAAAAAGTAAAAATCTTTGAGTGACCGGTTTTACCATACTCGTTTTCCCCAATAGACTTTAGTGTTATGAAAACCGTCAGGCGAACGGTTTTCAAAATTTGTAATTTCAATCATAAATATCTTGATAATCAGACAGGCGATCGGCTTGTAAATGTCATGGGGTTCCTGACTGACCTAAAGGTTTATAATTATCATTGCATCATGAGCTAAATCCAGAATTTTATTTCAGAATCTGAGACAAAGTTACCATATCCCTGATACAGTTAAACCTGCCTTTAATAGTGGCCTATATACTCTTTATAAAGGTCACTGGCCGATAGTGGTCACGCATATTGCCTTCCTCTAGAAGAGGATGTGTGTCGAAGAACCTGTCTGGAAAGGCCACCTGCATACAGTGGCCCACTTTATGTGTTTTCGCTTGGTGGCCTTCAATAGACTGTAGTAATGATAATGACAACCCGTATTTCAATGACGCATATCACCACGTATGAAATCCCATTGCGCGATTTCGTAATAGAGAAAGAGAGTCAGGGTGATGAAAGGAGAATAACATGCATATGATTCCAACACTGAAAACAGCCCCCCCCCCCCCCCTCTCTCTCTCTATCATCAAACCTCAGGGCACACTTTCTTCAAACCGGATCGGATTATGTAAAAACATCATTGTCATGTTGGCACATTTCAATAGGTGACTGCACCAGGCGCGTACACAGGGGGGGGGGGGGGGGGGGGGGGGGGGGGGGGGGGGGGGGGGGGGGGGGGGGGGGGAGGTTAACCCCCCCTTTGGTAATTTTGTGTGTGTAAACCCCCCTAAATTTCTCTAAAACCCCACCCCTAAATTTATCTAAAACCCACCCCCCCCCCCCCCCCCTTTTGGATTTTTTTATTTAATTTTTTTTTTTTTTTTTATTTAAAAAAAAAAAAAAAAAAAAAAAATATTCCCATGGTTTACCTAAAAAAGCTGACCCCCCCCCCCCCAAAAAAAAAAAAAAAAAAATGTGTCCTCTTACCCCCCCCCCCTCGGCCCGATTAATGTTAAACCCCCCCCCCCCCCCCCCCCCCCCCCCCCCCCCCCCCCCCCCTTTGAAAAAATCCTTCGTACGCGCCTGGACTGCACAATCATTCGACTATTGCTTTAGGCTGATCGTTTTGTAATTAGCATGTTTTAGTTATTCATTTAGTTGGTTGACAGGATTAAAAATGAATTACTTACCGTCGGGGCTCTCGCCCTGGTTCTCTTCCTGGACTAAAGCACTTGCTGCCACGACCGAGGCAATCAGAAAGTAGAGAGCAATCATGGTTTGTGACGCCATCTTCATACTCTGAGGAAAATAGAATCAACATAGAATACATTTTGATCATTAATTTCGGTCAAAGCTACGGTGAAATAGCAACACAATTAAGAATCCCAGCATGAATAGTGACGTACTGAAACTTTCCTCCAACCACTCATCAAGAATGAACAGAAAGCCGAAATCGCAAAATATAAAGTTAGACCGGAAACTGAAGGAACAAAACTGCGCGAAAAATGACGGGCTTCGAGACGATTGGCTGCCAGAAAATACGGGAATTTCGGTTGCTCTGATGAATGCTAGGCTAGGCGGAAGCCTTCGGAATGTTTACATTCAATCATATTCTTCGCTATCTGGAACCAAACAAATGAGAATCGGGGCAGCGCCAGGAGCGTCACAACGTGACGGACATGTGCGCTATATAAGAAGCCACCATTATTATTATTATTATTATTAATGCCCTGTTGAAAGACGATGTTCACGGTCCACTTCTTCATTGCTGTCATTACATACACTGAAAGGCTTCACCCCACCCTCCTTGAGAATACTGTGATAAAGATTCAACGCTAAGATCAAGGCGCAGAAAATATTAAGAAATCGAATTTAATGCATGAACATACTTAACATACCACCTTCTAACATTATCAAACTCAAACTTGGGTATGAGCCATTATAAGTTTAGCATGTTTGTTGAGTAAAATGTACCCAAAATTGGTTAAACACTATCTAGTATTGGTATAAAGTCTTTAATACCCAAGAAATATTTATGGTCCTTTTTTGTTGTTGTAAATTGTACCCAACTTTTTCGAAGGGGGAAATCCTCCCTTATATTAAGTTGGTTTTAATAAAAGCAGAAAAATTGAGAGAACGGGCCAGTGAAAATGTTAGCAAAAACTGATTATTAATAAGAAAGTTATGATTTCTGTTGAAGGTGCAATCAATCCAACACAAATTTCCAACGCTGTGACGTATTTGCGAGGTCCCCTCCCATTTGCCCTGTACTAAAATACAGAAACGATGGTCTAGAACACGATCTGATCACGATCTGAATGAGTACAAGAAAGCTCGCAATGCAGCATTGTATATTTTGAACGCTGCTCACAGAACTTATCATAAAGATTTAATAACACATAACAAAGATGACTTAAAGGGCTTGTTCACTGTCATCAAATCCCTGTTTAATGTTTCAAACAAACAACCAGTGATGCCATGTAACATTGATAAAAAGATTTTTGTGAATGACTTAGGAAAATTCTTTCATGACAAGGTTCTAAACATTCACAGTGACATTCAAACTAGCATAGGTTTGATGGATAGAATTGATACTGATTCATCAAGTCTTATTCCAGTACCTGATGGTATCAAGCTTGATAAGTTTAAACTTTTATCTGAACAGGAAGTAGGGAAACTTGTGATGAAGCTCAGCAAGAAGTCTTGCTCTGCTGATCCGATTCCAACAAATATTCTCTTCCAATATATTGATGTTATACTACCTGTGTTCACATCCATGATCAATGTCTCCTTGTCTACGGGCCACTTTCCTAAAGAATGGAAAGTCGCACTTGTTTCACCATTGTTGAAAAAAACCAGGGCTTGATGTTGAATTTGGTAATCGTAGACCCATAAGTAACCTACAATACATTTCTAAATTGGTAGAAGGTGCAGCCACACAACAGATTTTACAGTTTCTTAACAGTAATTCACTCCTTCCATCCAATCAGTCTGCATATAGACAGTTTCATAGTACAGAAACGGCACTACTCAGGATCAAGAGTGATATTCTGATTGCAATGGAAAGACATAAAATCACTCTCCTGTTATTACTTGACTTGAGTAGTGCCTTTGACACTATTGAGCATTCCAGATTACTAGATATTTTGAAGATATGTTGCGGTATCGACGGTGTTGCTCTCGGCTGGATCGAGTCATACTTGTCTGATCGACATCAACAAGTTAAAATTGATGGCATTGTCTCTGACTCTTTCCAGGTGCCCTTTGGTGTGCCACAGGGCTTTCGGCTCGGCCCTTTGCTTTTTATGTTATACACGAGTAATCTAATCAAGAGCACTCAGGATAATTTTCCTGAAGTCTCCTGTCACTGTGATGCAGACGACACACCATTATTGTTATCCTTTAGACCATCCACCAGTACTCAAGATGCAAGTGTTTCAATGTTGGAAAAATGTGTTAATTTTATTCATAGATGGATGCTTAACAATAATCTTAAGCTAAACGATAGTAAGAGTGAATTTTCGGTTATAGGAACTCAACAACAGATTTCAAAAATAAGCATTGACGGTGTAAGAGTTGGATCCTCCAATGTGATACTTCTTCCGTCAGTAGTAAAGCATGATTTACCTATTTATTAATGATGATGTTTCTTTTCACATTATGTTACTGAGTAAGCGATAAGGTCCCTTTTTGTTAATAATCGATATCATTATCAATACAATTACAAAACTGACGGAATTAGAAAGACGTCTCATGTGCAACAATCATAATTGGGCCTACCTGATTTCGATGTGGTGTTCGGGTAGAATTCTGTGAGATGATAAATGATAAACTTTCTCGAAGCTTGATGTGACGAAGTGTCTCTATCCGTTGAACTATCCGTTCTACCTGTTGAAGTACTGCCTAGATAGCTTCTAGTTTTATGGAATATCGAAGGCTGTCACGACCATCTACTCTAACCTTGGGTGAGAGAATACAATCATTAACTGACGATTCTCGTGTACAACTATTAATTGCGTCCTTGTCAATATGATTGAATTTGCTGCAAATACTTAGAACTTCTGAAGGCGGTAAACCACATAATACACCAACGCTGTTATCCTCATCCGATCTAATCATTCTGCTGTATCTGAATATTGCGCGACCAAGGCCAGCAAAAATGACAATCTCTTTCCGTAAATTGCGCGATATTGATATACAGCCTTGTAAAAATTGCCTGATGTTCAGTCATGCACGCAGAGATTCAAAAGTACCTTAATGTACTGGGAGGATAACTCTATCAAGACATATCATGAAACCCATGATTAAATATTCATACTTCAAACAATACAACTTTTAAAAAGTGAGACATTTTTTTCTGACTCACTCTGTATACCAATAATCACCTCTTGTTCCCGCATCTGAGTTAGACAACTTGGTATCTCAATATGATTCTGTTGTAAATGAAAAAAAGCACGCACCTTTAACAACTCGCACAGTAAGGTGTCGTCCTAACGCACCTTGGTTCAATGAGAAATTACATGAAATGAAACGAAACTTACGACGCCTTGAGCAATGCTGGATTGTTTCTAAATTTGAAGTTGACAGATACATTTTCAAAAACCTAAATTATTAATACATCGCATGATCAAACAATCTAAAACAAAACTATAATTCAAAACAATTTAAAGGCTAGATGCTGCTTGTAAGTATGGGCTTGCATGGTAATATAGATATACAGTAGGCTTGCGGGTGCACCATGTGAGAGAGAGAGGGAGGATTAAGAATGATAACCAACAGTCTTTTTCAAGACTACACCAACAGTCCTTTCAGGACTACACACCCTCAAGAAAGATGACCGAAAGTCCTTTTCAGGACTCCTCAATCCTCTCCCTCTCACATGGTACACCCGCAAGCCTACTGTATAATTTAAGAGCTTTAATTCAAAGCAGCTATTTCAAAAAGTCAACAAATTTTGCACGCCAAAAGTATCCAAGGTGTTACCTTCTAACGATTCTGATCTTTTACTTGGTGAACGTTCTTCTGATTTTGTTTTATAATGACAAAATTCGGAGTATCAAAAATGTTCTCATGGATTCATCACAAATACTGTCAGAGATATCATAATTAAATCTCCATCAACTTCTTGTAGTCTTAATCCAATGTCAACATGGCTGCATGAGATATCATTTGTTTAGACGAGCTTTAACCAGTCATTACCAAAATTACGAACATGTCTATTCAAAGTTGTCAATTTCCTGATGTTTTGAAAACGGCACAAATCACTCCTCTTTTGAAGCAACCAAATTTGCTTCATACGCCTATAGTACAAGATAGGTCGTATTAGAAATGTTCTTGATCAAAAATCCGCCGAAACGTTATACACGCATTTATCACGATAACAATCAATCAATGCCTTAGCCTTCGTTATGACCTTCCGGACTCACGCATTGCAAAACTCCAGAGAATCCAAAACTCTGCTGCCAGGCTTGTAACACGCACACCGTGATTACATTACTCCAGGGGTGTTTCACAAAGACTAAGATCGACTTTCAGTTGGACTTGACTATGGCAGGCCGTTCATGCCACTGTTTGCTGAACTTTGCTCTCACCATTTCTTGGTATTGGTCTCTCAAGGGACGAACAAATCATGGTCACAAATCTACTTTTTTTGTATCATTCAATAATTGAAGGAAAAGTAGTATCTAAAGATCATAAAGGTGAGAGTAAACTGTGGCATGAACGGCCTGCCATAGTTGAGTCTAACTTTAATAAAGTCGATCTTAGTCTCTGTGAAACACTCCCCAGTACTTCGCAAATTGCATTGGTTGCCGGTGATGTACCGCATTATGTACAAAATCTTGGTTTAACTTATAAATGTATTCATGAATTGGCCCCAATTTATCTGCAAGAACTAATCCAGGAATACAAACCCTTACGCAATCTACGGTCATCTTCACAATTCAACATAGCGTCTACTTCGGTGTCAACTCTTTCTTATAGTCACCGCTCTTTTTGTAAAGCTTCTGCTGAACTTTGGAACAAACTACCTTTGCATGTGAACAACTGTAAGACTGTCTACCAATTTAAAACATGTCATTATAAACATTTATTTGAAATTGCTTTTTATGATTAACTTTATTATACTCTGTTCAAAGTCATGTATATTTCATATGTATTTCAAGTTGTAGGTTTTTTGGTGAAATTTGTTGTTGTTGTTGCTTAATATGTAATTGTTTTTTCATTGTATTTTGTTATAGTTATAGCGCTTAGAGACTTCGGTAGAAAGTACTTTATAAGCTACGATTTTATTATTACTATTTATTGTCCATCGCTCCGACCATAGCTCATTTGCCAATAAACCACGTTGATCAAAAATGGAAAGTTTCCTAATGACATTTTGAATTTAAAAAAATTAAAAATATATACAATGCACTAAGAGGCGTCAAGTAATATTACAAATTCTCTGTGACTGGCTTAGAACTAGTTTCTGAGGGACCAGTCACCGAAGATCCAAGCATTTACAGGTGCCTCGAAAAGAG